TTTTTTTTGCGTTAACGTTGATATTTTTTTTAATATTTTTATTTTTAAAATCACTATTTTTGATTGGTCATCACTTCTCTGAAGTGATCTGCAGCTTGTGTAACCACGAACATTCACACCTGTTATTTCTACGCAGAGAAATTTCTAATGCTATAATGCAAAGAATTCTATAAATTATGTAAGTATATGCATCACGAGTTATAAAACTATATACTTCATAGTTCATGTGTACATTGTGCGTATTCAGGTTTCAGTCCAGAGTTGGCCCCACAAATAAATTCAGAACATATATGGCATGAGTTAATTGACCGACTTTGGTTAGGTACTAATTCCAGAAAAATGAAAAATAGCACTTTGAGATTGTGCCCCATCTTACAAATAAGTTATGTATAACGAAGGTGATACAAATAAATTTTATATGCAGAATTTATTCTAACACGTTAATCATTCGAGAATTTTCACATTCATATCGCCTATATATTCCATCCATTACTTTTTTGCATATTTTGCAATATAGGTGTGAATGATGATTGCATTCATCACAAACCTTATACCTGTGCTTCCACCCTTTAAAGATATGCCACTTTTTGATATAATTTTGTATACTATATTCTTTTATTATTATATATTAGCAGATAAAATATAATGTGGTTATTTTTTTTATATACAAATAAATTATGCATAAGCCGGTAAGCCGGGATTATTTATAGAGAATTTTTTGTATATCAATATAAACATTTTTTTGTACCATATAACTAATTTATTTCATTTATATAGAACATATCAAATATAGAACGCAAAAAGTTTTTATGTATGTACATTACATGAACTGAAAATTATAATATATGGCGCAGTAATCACGTGAGTGTTACTTTCGAGGTCACGTTCACGTGACTTATACGATTGATTCTGTTGGGGGTTTATCAGGAATTTGAGATATTATATAGTTAATTTGATCAACGGTTAATTTGGCTATTGTTAATGCACTAAAAGATTCTACTCGTCCTATCTTATCTGTTCCTACCTTACTAAATAGGTGAAAAATCTTTTG